ATTTCTTCCAAGTCTCCCCAGTGGTACCTGAGGGGCCATTTGCTAGGGTGACTGGGCAGGAGAGAAAGGGAAATACACAGCCCTTCTGTAGGTGACTGGATATCAGCTCTGAACGGATGCTAATTTCTAGGGACTCTAAAACTCGCCATGATTCATCAACTAGAGTGGGAACTTAGGAAGGTCTGATGATAAATGAAATCTTGGCATGAAACATCCTACAATATGTAACTCTAGTGGGCCCTTGGAAAGGACATAAATGGCAACTGACAGAGTCCCCACATTAGTTCCCTGATCTATGGAATAAAAACTACTGGGTGAGAAAGGCCAAGAGGGAGCCTCCGGGAAGCCTGTCCTCCTGCATGCCTAAAGAGCGAACAAAAAGCAATACCACACTCCTGGGAGTGCTGCAGAAATCAGAGTCACCAGCTAAGCCGTGAAAGACGAGAGGATGGTGTTTCCAGTCATATCCCTGTATAATACCTATTTGGTCAGCAAAGATGCCACGTAGGTCATGAGAATGACTGTGGATTATGCTACACTCGATTAGGTAGCTGTTGCTGACTGTAGCTGCTATTCTTTTTTTTTTCGTTTACATCTTCGCAGTTGCTATTCTTGATGTGCTATCTTTATTAGAGCAATGGCACCTGGTAGACAGCTATTGACTTGGCAAGTGATTTTTTTCTTTATCTTAATTAGTAAGAACAGTTGGAAGCAGTCTTATTTCACCTGGCTGACTGAGACAATGATCTACACTCATGGTCTTCAGGGTTATGTCAACTCTCCTGTTTTCATTTAATCCAAAGGAGACCTGATACCTCACAGTACTGGTATCAGGCTGGTCCATTATATTGATAACATCATGTCAATTGAATCTAAAGAGCAAGATGCAGCAAGAACCCCTAAAACATCTGTAAGGTACAGGCATGGCAGGGGATAGGAAGAAAAACTTCACAAGATTTAGAAGCTTGAAACCCTGATGAAATGCCTAGGGATCCAGTGGTCTGTGTCATCCTATGATAGCCCTTCCGCAGTCACAGTTAAGCTGGTCCACTTTGCCCTGTGCACCACAAAGAAAAGCACAGTGCTCAACAAGTCTCTGAATTTTGAAAGCAACATTTGGGTCTTCCACTTTGGTCCATTTGCTTAGAAACCCATAAGGCTGCCATTTCAGGGTGGATCCCAGAGCAACAGAGGGCTCTATACCAAGTCCAGGCTGAAGAACAAGTTGCTCTGCCACTAAGGCCTTATAACCCAGGGGATTCAATGTACTTGAAGTATCTGAAACTTTGCCCAAAGAATATCAAATGATAATGTGACCTGAGCTGCTCATTATGAATTGGGTGTTATCCTACACCCCAAACCATAAAGTCAGGTGTGTGCAGCAACATACCATTACTAAATGCAGATGGTATGTATGAAAGCAGGCCTAAATGGGTCTGAGTGGCACACGTCAACTGACTGAGATTCCCGCTGCAACTACCCTGCTGTTTTACCGTCTCGTCCTCAACCCACATAAATAATCCCTCATTGACCAGTTAACAGAAGAAAGACGAACAGTGGGCCTGGTTTATAGGCAAGTCTATTTCCATGTTCACACCAGCCAGAAGTGGATGGCATTACAGCCCTACTAAGGGTGACCCTGAAAGACAGTGATGAAGAGAAACTTCCCAGTGGGCAGAAACTTGGACAAAAATATCTCACTTGCTTGGAAGTGACGAGCTGAAGAAGAAATCTACACAGACTCGTGTACAGTGGCTAAAAGATTAGGTGAACTGATCAGGGACTTGGAGACACTAAGAGTGGAAGGTTGATATGACAAAGAGAACTGTGGAAGGAGTATGTGGATGAAACTCTTGCAATGGGCAAAAGTTGAGGAGATATTTGTGACCCAAGGAAATGACCACCAGTGATCATTCATAGTAGAGGAAGCTTCCTCTACTTATAAGGTAGATAAGATGACCAGTGTTGTGGCTATGGTCAATTTCTTCCCTATTCACCCTGCCACTTGCTCTGTGGGCCCAGGTATAGAGTGGCCAGAATGACAGAAATGGTCACAACAATAGAGACTGCCCCTTGCTGAGAATCCTGGCCTTCACCACTGCTGAGTGTCCACCTTGCTAGTAGCAGAGGACAACACTGAGCCCTGGAATAGCTACCAGCCCCTTGGGAACCAGCCAATCCCCTAATTTTATTGAATTCTTTCCACCTTGGAAGGGGCAGTGGTTTGTCTTGATGGGAATAGGTACATATTCCATATATAGATAAATTTTCTTTGCCTGAAACTCTCCTGTCAACTCCATCAACAGGGGGCCTACAAAATCCCTTATATCACTGTCATGGTATCTTATGTAAACTTGCCTCCAACAAAGGGACTCATATCAATACAAAAGCTGTGCTTGTGCCCGTGGAATTCAGTGATGCTACCATGGACCCCATAATCTGAAGGCAGCTGGTCTGAAAGAAGAGTGGAATGGCCAGTAGGGACACGCTGACTCTAGCTGGGTGACAACACTCTGAGGGATTGGGGTGTTACCCTATAGGATACCATATATGCTTTAAACTTGACCAAAAGACGGTGTCAGCTCCCTCAAAGCCCACATATAAAGGCCTGAAAACCAAGTGGAAGAGGTGAAAATGTTCCCTCTTGTCATTGTACCTAGTAAGACATTTATAGAAATTTTTCATAATGTGCACATTCTCTTGGTTTGGGTAGGTTGAACTCTTAGTTCCCAAGAGAAGAATGCTCCCACAGAGAACACACATAGCCGTGGTTCCATTAAATTGGAAGCTGGCACCCTCCCCCGACCCCAGCCACTTGGGACTTCTCTTGTCACTGACCCAACAGCCAGAGCGAGAGTTTCCATACCTAGATGAGGTGATTGGTCCTAGTTACCAAGAGGACTCTGGGCCGCTGTTAGCCCGCAGGACTACTGCCTATTTCAGGACCCTGTGTGGGGATGGGTTTAGAACGCCACCCACCAAGACCCTGTCAATGACAGGGGGAGCCTGCAGCTGGTTCAGAGAAGCCCAGGCCAGAGCTCCTCATGGGTTCCATTCCCCATGCTTCTCCTGCCCTGGTGAGAAAAGACAGGGCTTGTGGTGTTCAGTTCACCTCAGCAAACGTTTGTTGGAAAGCTTTCAGAGGTAACAGTGCAGCATAACTGACTAACCGGAACATTCATGAAATGAATTGTTCTGGTAAATTGAGCTTTCTAAGTAACTGAGTTTTATTCTGAAAATTTGCTACATATCCTTTTGACATGTCTGACTCCACTTCCTTCCCACCATAAGCACTGCCTTGTGAACATGGTTGATGCTTTCTTTGATGAACAGGGATTTTAAAAGCCCTCAAAGTGATGATTTCCAGAAGACCAAGTCTCAAGGTGATAATGTAGATAAAGAAAGGGAAGGTGATGGGGCTGAATGAACTGCACAGGACAGAAGGTGCTTTATCAAAAGATAAATTCCTGATATCAGCCTGATTCACCGTCATTCACCTCTGAAAGAAGATTCCTGGAGGAGCTCTGGTTTGTAGAAAGCTCTGGGAGCTGGGAATTTGCTGTGATGATAATGATGGCCGTGTACCTGTGATGCTTGTGTTCCTCTGGCCCCCTGTGTTTTCATGCCTCTTTCACATTTATGCTCTCATTTGAGTCTCATATCAGCCCTCTGAGATGGCAAAGGCGTGTTTTGTTACTTTCTCTGAAGAGTCAGAACAACTGAGGCACAGAGGGTGGTGGTGGGCTAGGACACAGATCCCTTGAATCGCTACTTGTTTCCTTGGTTTCTGACCCTAGGTATTCTCTTAGGCCTTTATAGTGGGAAGACGACAACACATTTTCAAGGATTGTGAGAGAGAAAAAGAGGAAGGAAAAAATTCCATGTGGTGGTTACATAGCCATGGGAAAGTCAGGCTGCACAAATATTGGACAGGCAAGGAATTTCCCCCAAATTCTTGAATGTGGTATGTCCCCCGCCATGTGGTTAGAACTCCAGGTAACACAGCCCAAAGACCATGCACCTCCTACCCTGGCAACCTCCTGCCATTGCTCTGATGTTCTCAGCCTGCCTCTGACACTGCCATGGGGACAAAGTCAGGAGAGCCTCCACCTTGGGAGGAAGACTGTGGCCAAAGTGATGTGCCTTTTGCTTTCAGCTTCTTCCCCAAAGGAAAGGGAACTGCCCTTCTGGGCTGACAAAATGTTTCTTCAGAGTGAGCAACCGGGGATGCCAAGAGGATGGAGCTGGCAGTCAAGGACCTGGGTTCAAAGTCTTGGTAATACAGCAATGGGCAAATAAAATGAGCTTTCTGTGACTCAGCTGATTTCTCATGCATGCAGAGGAGAACTACCCAGGTCCTTCTTTAGGTTCAAGACTGCTGTGAAAGCAAATGAGATCCTATGAAAAGAAAGGTGTTCTGTGCTTTTTAGAAACTGAAGGACTAGAAACAACCAACCAAGGCAAGATCCAGTGCACGGGCTATCTGCAGGGTTCGCAGGCTGCCTCCTCTTCTCCCTAAATGTCTGTCCCCCAAATCCCCTTCAGCATCTCACCATGTTATCTTATCACGTCTGCCTTGAGTCTAACTGGTGTTGAGGAGGAGGTGCACGTGGATGTCCTACTGTAACCCGAATGAACCAGGCTCACTTTTTTCTCTGCACATTTGTTTTCACATCTGTAAAATGTAGAGGGGGGAGGCTGAGATGGGTAGTCATTTCTATTAGAAGATTTTAAAAGTCCTCTACCATCTAACAGTCAGTGAGTTGATAACCTCTGCCTCCCTAAAGAGAAACTTGCATGCTTCAGGCTATGTCTATGGATAGCTAAGGACCAGTCAGGTGTAAGGAAGTAAGTGGGCAAGAGCAAAACATGTGGAGGAGAGAAGGGTTTTGGACTCCCAAGCAGTTCAGACAGGGTTAACCCAGAACGAGGAGTGGACCGCCTCTTGCAGAGAGACGGCAGGACTGAAGCTCAGCAGAGCAGCCTGGGAACCTGGGCACCTCCACACCTGGCTTCCAGGCCTCTGTGCATCACACTGGTGCGAGCCTCCCTGCGGACACATCGTGGCCCTGTGCATGCGGTCCAGAGGGTTTCCTCACCCTGGGAAAGCCTGGTTTCACCCCCTCTCTGCCATCCAGGGAAACCAAGGGCAAAACTGCTGATCTCCAAGGACAGTGAAGGCAGAATCCAAGCAGTCCCGGGCCAGACACTGAGTTAGAGTGGCTGGACACTTTGCATTTAAGCCGGGTGGATGAGAACATCAGAGCCCATTAGCACCGCTGGCCACAGCAGGCTCAAAGAACGCGCATGGCTGCAGCCCTGTAAGAAATCTCAAAGCCCACTCCTTACAAACACACCTTCCACAGGCGCATGTCCTAATGACAGGGTCCGTCAGCCTGAAGGCTTTTGCTATTAGGTTGATTTGCTCCAGGATGGGAGGACAAAGAGGCCCACCTCCTGAGGATGAAGTCACCAAACAGAGCCCCACATCCTCCCCCGGGCTCTACGGTTTCAATAGTAAGCCTGAAGACTTTGGCAGACATGGAGGGGATAAGTGGTGAGTCCCCCTGACTCCCCGAAAGAGCCAAGAGAGCATTTCTCAAAGTCTGAGCCAAGAATTGCTTGTATCAGGATAAGCTGGCACACTAACTTGAAAATATGTATTCCTGGACTCCTTACCAGTGAATCTGAATCTTGGGGGAACCGTCATTTCTTAGCAAGCTACAGGAATGATTCTTAGGTCCAGTAATGTTAAAAACCATATGACCACTCTCCACTCTTGACAAGAGTAGACACTTGGCAAGACTGTATTGAAAGATTGAATGCATAATTGAACGTGTGTGGGGGAAGCGAAAACTCATTCTCATTGAACCAGGAAGAAACAGAAGTGACTAGAATGAGTCAGGTTTTATTGGACCTGGAAACGGGTTCAAAAGCTTCCAACATAATCAAATTTCTCCTACAGCAATATGTATTTTTGAAGTTTACAATGCTTTCGCCTTTCTTCCCTTTTGAATCCTGATGGGAAAAAAACCCCAAAAAACCGTAAGATATTTATCACTATTTTTAACTCATTTAACACTTGAAAAAACTTGAGGTTCAGAGAGTATTCCTTTACCAATATCGTGCAGCCAACAGGGGGCAGAGGCAGAGCCCAGGTGCGTGGACAGGAGCTCCAGGCCAGCCCACCGTGCAGTGGCAGCCGCTGCCATCCTCACCGAGGACAGGGAAGGAAGCTGACCGGGGTGATCCCACGATGGAGCACTGTCAGCAGAAGGGCAGAGCCTCGTAGTGCGTGTGGTTTAAGGGGTGAGGGGGTGCAGGGCAGGAAGACAGTACGAGCTGATGAGTACTCAGCACCTGCTGTATGCCACAGCCATCCACTTCGATGCATTATTTCAGATAATACTCACGATCACTCTGTAAAGGTTTCATTTCCCTCATTTTGTAGTTGAGGAAAATGAAGCTCAGAAGGGAAGATAAGGAAGTTGCCCATGGCATTGACCACAGAGCTAGGAAATGGCAAAGTCACATTTTGAACTCAAATTCAAAGCCCATTTACAAAATCTTTTTTTTCTTGGTTATTTCCCCCAACCCCTTTCCTGCCTACCATTGGGTTGATCCAAGATTTAATTCCGTTTTTGAAAATTTGACTGGTTAATATATTCTATCAATATATTTTTCCTTTTAGGAATTACTTAACTTTTATACATGCTTTTATTGAACTATATACCTTTAATATTTTATGCCAGGCTCCTCTGTCCATGGGAATTCTCCAGGCAAGAATACTGCAGTGGGTTGCCATGCCCTCCTCCAGGAGATCTTTCTGACTCAGGGATTGAGCCCAGGTCTCCCACATTGCAGGTGGATTTTTCACTATCTGAGCCACCAGAGACGCCCTTAACAATGTCTAACATGATGCATCTCTTTTTCCTGTGCTATACAAGGGCTTTACAATGCTGTACATCTGATTTCTCCCTCCTGTGTTTCAAGATACTGCTATCTATTCAGCTGAGCCACATAAAATTGCCAATATTCAACAAATACTTAACCTACAATATGGCATTTCATACAAATTATATTTTCAATGAAAGCAATGTGTTAGCTACATTTCATAATCTCCCCCAAATCAGACTAAAAATTTTGACACAGATTTCAGTTCAGTTCGGTCTCTCAGTCGTGTCCGACTCTTTGCGACCCCATGAATCGCAGCATGCCAGGCCTCCCTGTCCATCACCAACTCCCAGAGTTCACCCAAACCCATGTCCATCAAGTCAATGATGCCATCCAACCATCTCATCCTCTGTTGTCCCCTTCTCCTCCTGCCTTCAATCTTTCCCAGCATCAGGGTCTTTTCAAATGAGTCAGCTCTTCAAATCAGGTGGCCAAAGTATTGGAGTTTCATCTTCAACATCAGACCTTCCAGTGAACACCCAGGACTGATCTCCTTTAGGATGGACTGGTTGGATCTCCTTGCAGTCCAAGGGACTCTCAAGAGTCTTCTCCAACACCACAGTTCAAAAGCACCAATTCTTCGGAGCTCAGCTTTCTTTATAGTCCAACTCTCACATCCATACATGACCATTGGAAAAACCATAGCCTTGACTAGATGGACCTTTGTTGGCAAAGTAATGTCTCTGCTTTTTAATATGCTGTCTAGGTTGGTCATAACTTTCCTTCCAAGGAGTAAGTGTTTTTTAATTTCATGGCTGTAATTACCATCTGCAGTGATTTTGGAGCCCAGAAAAATAAAGTCACAGATTTACCAACGTATAAATCAATTTCCTTATTCAGTGTTAACTCTTTGGCTTTATGTTTTAAACACAGAATGTATTTATTTAATCACACACACACACATTCCAATGGGAACCAGACAGAATAACAGAACAAACCCTGTTCTGGAGCAATACACCCTGCCTCTCACTTTCTCCTGATTCTAAGACCTCTTCATTCAAGCCAAATAAACTCTGAGATAGATGGTTGGAAAATTATATAAAAATATTTAAGTATTATTGCCTCTTTCACACAATTTGACTTGTGTTTGATGCACACAATTTGTCTGGATTTGACCTTGGAAAGGTAATTTTTACCTCTCAGAGTCTTAGATTTCACTTGAGTAAACTTAAAGTTGTGATCTGAATCTGAAGGTCTTAGGCTGATGGGTTTGCATCTGAATTATGTGAAGTTTTAAAATATCATTATTAGTTTTTGAGACCTACTTCTGAATGTTCAGTTTCATTAAAAACATTTTTCAATGTAGGTCTATGAGTAGCAAACTCAATCTTTGTCTAAAAATTCTTTATTCCATATTCATTTTTGTAGGACATTGAACTGGGTATAGAATTCCAGGTTGACAGTTCTTGCTTCTGAGCATTTTTCTTAGCCCTTTCTCCCTTTTCATAACTCTTATCAAGTATTGTATCCAATTTTCTCCATACCACTGAGTCTGGTTTTCACCTCTATATCTCTCTGATAAAGAGAGATTTCTAGATTTTGGACTGGTGAGGAAAACTTGATGTCCACCCTGGGCATGGGTGGACAAAGGGTCAATCTTCATTCTAGATTATTACCTCAGATCTAGTGTTTTTAAAACTCACTGTTTCTCTCTTTGATCTTGAAGAGGCTATTATTCAAACTTCTGTGGAGTCTTTGTGTTGACTATTATATTTTTCATTTCTAGAATTTTCATATGTTCTTTTTGACAATTGCATTTTGTTTTATGGTCTTATTCATATTTTCCTGATGATTTTCCCTTCTTTCATATTTTAGCATTTTAGGGGTATATATTAAAGTTTCTTTCAGATGTCTTATTCTATCCAGATATTAGGGTGCAATTTCTTTGATTTGAAGTGCCTGCTAACTATCCTTTATGGTGGTCTGTTTTCTTTTGTCATTATAATATTGTACTGTGAGCCTCTATTTCAGGGGATTACTTCCCATGGAATTCCCATGTATCCTGGGATGAGGCAGTGTCTCTTCTCATAAGGCATCTGCAGGGTCCTACAGGGTTCAAAAGTTTCTGGGTGGTTTTTATGTTAATTTCTCCTTTGGGTTCCCTGTACCACAGGAATAGTGGAAATTTAGAACCCAAGTCTGTCAAATTGGTTTAGGATGCCAATTTCCTGAGAATGATCCTTTGTACACTCCTGGCCAGGGTTTACATCAAGTTTTCCTCACCAGTTTCCAGGATGCTTGGTAGAGACTGTCTCATACTTGCTGCATGGGTTGAGCAGCTCTTCACAATCCCTGCCTTTACAACAGCTCAGTTCTACTCCTTGGGCCCTGCAGCCAAGTCTCCCATCCACAATCGGGTACCAGGACTCCAGCCCCCAGCTGATTTTATAATTCTGTGGGCCAGTTTGGCTCAGCAGCTACTAACCCCCTTGACTTTGAGCCTCTTCTTTGTTAAGCTAGCATGGGGGATTTCTCTCTCTTAACATTGAGCCTGTTGTTGTTCAGTCACTTAGTCGCGTCTGACTCTCTGCAACCCCATGGACTGCAGCACTCCAGGCTTCCCTGTCCTTCACCATCTCCCAGACCTTTCTCACACTCCTGTCCATTGAGTCAGTGATGCCATCCAACCATCTCATCCTCTGTTGTCCCCTTCTTCTCCTGCCTTCAGTCTTTCCCAGCATCAGGGTCTTTTCTAATGAGTCAGTTCTTTGCATCAGGTGGCCAAAGTACTGGAGTTTCAGAGCATCATTCCTTCCATTGAATATTCAGGATTGATTTCCTTTAGGATTGACTGGTTTGATCTCCTTGCAGCCCAAGGGACTCTCAAGAGTCTTCTCCAACACCACAATTCAAAAGCATCAATTCTTTGGTGCTCTTTATGGTCCAACTCTCACATCCATACATGAATACTGGAAAAACCATAGCTTTGACTACAAAACTTTGTTGGCAAAGTAATGTCTCTGCTTTTTAATATGCTGTCTAGGTTGGTCATACCTTTTCTTACAAGGAAGAAGCATCTTTTAATTTCATGGCTGCAGTCAACATCTGTAGTGATTTTGGAACCCAAGAAAATAAAGTCTGTTACTGTTTTTATTATTACCCCATCTA